AACATTTTTCCTACTGACCATGCTTCAGCTCCTTATGTTTTCTTCCTTGAAGGCAGAAATCCCTTTCTGTTTTCTCGCTCTGTGGTAAGAGATGCACAGCTCTGAAGAAAGCTGCCCAGCCCTGTGCACCAGCTCCTCTTGCCAGCTCCTAAGTTTCTGCTTAGCTTGTTTAGTGTGTATGTTAAATATGTGTGCACAGACAAATAGATCTAAATAGATCTAGGGAGATTCTGAACTGTTTGTGAGGAATCAAACAACCACAGCATTAGAAAATAATTTAGGTTGGAAGGAACCCCTGGCAGCCTAGTCCAACCCCCTGCTCAAAGCTGTTATTTTCAGATCAGGCTATTTAGGGGTGACTGATCAAATTTTGAACACCTCCAAGGCTTGATTGAGCTCTTGCATATTCTTTAAGCCAGTTCCAGTATCTTATCTTCTCCCTCCTCCTTCTCCTCCTTCTCCTCCTTCTCCTCCTTCTCTCCTCTCGTTCCAGATGTTTGTTGTGTCTTGTCCCATCACCATTCAGCTCCGTGAAGAGACAGGCTCCATCTTCCTTTTATTCTCTGATCAGATAGGATAGACAGCAGCAAGGTTTCCCCTTTGCCTTCCCTTCTCAGGGCTGAAGGGACTCTGCTCTCACAGCCCCTTCTTGGTGCCACTGTGGCATCTGCTCCAGTAGGTAACACCTGCTCCTATGGGATCAAACTGGTGTTTGCTGATGCATTTCCACAGAAAGGAAAGGATCAAGGGCACCTTTGTGGTACTGATGGGGTCCTGCCAGGACCTTTGTCCTGGCCCTGTCTCAATTTTCTGAGTTCTCTGTGTCAGTCTCTGGTAGCAGAGGCGTGGAAATATCAATTTCTGGTGTCCTGGTTCATGTCACCATCTTAGGAGTCCATTATGTCTCGTGGCAGTGTGTCTCAGAGCACTTGAGTGATTTGCTCCTCACTTTCCTCTGTGTGATACTGTGCAAACTGAGGAGTGTAACAAAATGAAAATGTAGCAATCTTTTCCTTAACGTAGGAATGTGGCAACTGAGCAAATCTGCCTTTTTCCAGAGATGCAATGAAGCCTTTGGATCAAAAAGTAAAACAGTCGTTAAGAGTCAAGTGTGACTCTGTAACTGTGAATACAAATGGTGAAAATTTACATATGTTGCACCATTCTGTTTTCTTTTTTCCTTTTACTGTTTTTTTTTTTTTTTTTTTCTTTTTATAAAAGTGGTCTTACTTATTGTCTTCTGCATGCTCTGGAATGTGGGAATACTACATCAATGCAACAATGACAAGTATGAGTTTCAGGCAGAAGAAAATTAAAGATATTTATCAAAGTATTTTCATCTCTTTGGAGAAAATTGTTGTTGCTGAGTTACCATGCCACCTGAAACAAGCTCTGGTGGATTTAAGCAAAATATTACAAGTATCACATTCCTCTGTTTTGTGTTTAGCTTGTCTTCTTGGGAAATAACCAGGCTTTTATGTTTTTTTTAGATAATGGGTTTTTACCCTTCATTCCACTATTAACATCACATTACTGTATAGAAAGAGATCTAAAGAGGAATAGTTTTATTCAAAGTTTGTTTTCTTTTGAACATCTAACAGCAAGTATCAAGTGTCTCAATGCTATGCCTAAACCATCAAGCAATACCAAAGCAACAGCTGAGTTTGTTTTGTATTCAGTGATTTGTAAGCAAATAAAAGCTGTTGTGACTGGCCTTGGTGCAATACACACAGCTGGATAAAGCACAGGGTGCTTTCAGAGACCAGCTGAGAGATGTGGGGGTGTGAGGGGGCAGAAGCAGCTCCACAGACCCTTCCTTGTGCTCCCTATGGAGAATGTAAGGATGCTGTATCAGAGATGCTCAGCTGGATGCCAGTCCAGCTGTCAAAACAGAGACAGGGTCCCCTGGGTTCTGCGACAGCAGTTTTGTTTCCTCTTTCAGCACAACAGTCTTGGCATTGCCCTTGCTAGCACCACTTCTTTACCCAAGTGCCTCCCAGGCACAAATGAGCTTAATTTCCATTTTATTTATCAGAACAAAGGACAGTGGCAAGGTCCTGTCACCAGAGTCCATGCTAGGCTTTTCAGTGGTCAAACAGCCTAGACCAAAGAGCAACATTTTTATTAAAAATACTTCTCTGAAAGCACAAACCAAAGAATTTTCTTCTGCATTATGTTACTAAGTGTGCAACTTCACTAGTAATGTTTAGGAATGGGAGCAGTAACCAGTCTTTTGTCACCTGGTTTGTGGAAATTGGAGGTGTATGTGGATTACATGGAATTATGGGAAGACTCAGGTGGCAAATATTCTAGAGGATGAACTGCAGACATGGAAATGGAAGCTTGTGGGGCCTGAACTCCCCTGACAGTGCCTGCCCTGAGCTGAAAATACCAACTCACTCAAGCTATCTGCACTAGGCCAGCACAGGTACAGCTTGCCAGGCTGATTTATGGTGTCTGCTGTGCCAAATCCACCTGATCTGTTCTTGAAATTGGTCTGATCCTGGGTCTCAGCTCAATAAGCTGTTCTGTACTCAGCTAATTCTGCAGAGAACCAGAGATGTCTTGTGCATCTATAATACATGGAGGACTGGGAGCTGGCTCTGCTTTGGTAAGATTCAAAGAATTGTTATATGGAAACAGTTTAAATAAATGTTTAAATGCTTTGAAGGCTCCTTCTTTCAAGATGCCAGTCATAAAACAAAAAAGTTTTAAGAACTTTGATTAGGTAAATACTAAATTCCCCTGCACTGGACATGCTGTCTTCTTTCAGAAAAGCCACTTGGAATTGGTTTCTGAATTGGGGCCAGTAAAATTCTATACCCTGGGACATCTCCAGCATCTGAACTAGCATTTCAAATTGTATTACTAAGCTTGGATTAACTGACTGTCTGTGAACAGCTGTCAATTTCACAAATGGTGAGGTGAATAATTCCAATTTCACAAATGGTGAGGTGAATAATTCCAACAAGGATGCAAAGGCTGTCATGGAAGTGGAATAAAGCCACTGCCAGCCTCTCTGCATAGTTCAGGGGCATCACCAGTTTTCTGTGGTCATGAGCTGCTCACAAAGTATAGAGTTTACAGCAGTCAGAGCAGACATTTTAAAGTTACAGTGATGAGTAAAAAGGCTGATTTTGATGCCTTGTTTGGTTGGAAAGGGGAGGCTTGCATTTTTTAGTACAGCAATAAACAAATGCAGAATGTGGGAGGAGATGACTCAGAAAACACCAGCATAGTCTGATGCTTGTATTACAACATAATAAATGGGCTGTTTTATATGTATGTGAATGCACATAGACAGAATGCAGATGAACCTAATAAAATTATCTTAATCACTGGGATGACAGCCTCTCTGCAAGAAAGGAAAATTGATCACCTCATGTGGAAAAGGAGATGTATCTTAATTTTGAGGTGTTCTTTCCACGTAGAATGGATGATATTCAAGATTCTCTTTTTAATAAAGTGCTGGACTTTCTGTCAAATGGCACTTTGTAAACTCAAGCAATTAAATAAATGCTCTCTTTGTGAGAAAATATTTTTGGATTGGGGGTGTTCTTCTGGAAACTCAGGTATTGATTAGTTGTTTATTTGACTGGTTTTTTCAAACTAAGAAAGGTGAAAAATAGAAACAGGAAGGATTAGGATTAGAAATTGTGACAATGGAGCATGGGGCTTTTATGCAGCTTCCATTAATATCTTAAAACAGAAGTCTGTGTACAAATGTGTCACCCTTTTGGACCTAAATCAGGTTTATAAAGAAAGGAAGTATTTTTGAAATTTCTTTGGAGACAATAGATAGTAGACTTTATATCTCCACAGGAGAGCTTAACCATCTAATGCTGCAGATAGCTACACTATTTTTTCTGAGTTCTCTTTCTTTCACCTTAAAGATTAGAATTATTGCTCCTGCCCAAACTCAAATGTTTTTTATATGGATTTTAATTGCATTCCCCTGTTTGAATCCTTTTGGGTTTTTATCCATGTAAAACAATTTAAAAATCGATTAATAATTTTTATGTCATATTGTTTGAACTATATTTAAATGCAGTAAAATAGAAGATAGTTCTTATTTCTCTAAAGGGGCAGTCTTAATTGAGAAGAGTGGTTGAAATTAGCATTAGCTAAAATTATGACAATGACAGTGATGGTTTATGACAGCTGAACATTAAATATTTTTTGTCTTTAACTAACATTTCTTGTAGTAATATCCCCATGAAGGAGATGCAATCAGACTTCAAGCTGTTTCACTAATTCTTTTGTACAGAGTCTGGGATGCCAAAGGATTTCACCCAGTGCAGAGTGGCTGGAGTGTCTTTCAAACTGTGATGAATGTGTTGAGTTTTAGTACCAATTATTGTACTTCATGGGCTCATTGGCTACATTAATATTGCACTCACTGCTATTACTAAAACTTGTGATGGTAATAAATTGAGAGGGCATGACACCCAAGTAGGCATAGCTTGATTTTATACTAGTTTCTTTTATTTTATTGTAGTTTTTCTTCAAGAAACTTTGGGAAAACATATAGATTTAATTTCTCATATCTTTTAAACATGTACCTGATATATATTATTTTCCATTTAGCTTAGCAGTTGTATTCACCACAAGTTGTGTGTGTTAGAGAAAACAAAACTGAGTTATAATTTCAGCTCACAAAAGCTGGATTAAATTCACAACTGGCCTTGCTTTGACTTAATGATGCCATAAGGTCACTTCCAGCCTGATTTATTGTATATTTTAGAGATTTCAGTGCAATATCAATATAGATCCCTTAGGTTCATTAATTCACACATGATGATGATTTGCACTTTGCCAGAGACAGCTTTAACACTGCTTATCATATCACTGAAGACATTTACTCTGAGAACCTATCCTTTGCTTTCAATTACAGAATGCATTGCTATTGACATAACACTGGTGCTATAAAGTTCAGTTATATCTTTTTCAGATCATTCTTTTTTTCTCTATATATGCTATAAACTCATAATTGCCTTTAGAGATCCCTGAAGACCCAGAAATTGCAGAAGAATATTATAAAGATGAGTTTGAATCCTGTTCAGAAGACAGTGAAGAGGAGGAAGATGCAGAATTGTCATGGACAGTCTCTAGGACAAATTACCAGGTAAATGTGACCTTTGAGAACCCTGTATACACTTGATGAACATTTTCCATGAGAAAACTGAGTTTCTTACCAGAATTAGTCCTACTGACATTGCTGATTTTTTTTAGAAGTGTGTGTGTATATCAATACCATGAATTAATTATATGTGTATTATAAGGTATTGATGAGAAAGAATTTTGCATTCCTTCAAGATTAAAGGTAATACTCCCATGAATGCCTTAAGATAGATCATTGCCAGAAACCATTCTTGTGACTCTAAAACACTCAGAGTGGGATCCTCTCAAATGCCAGCTGTGATTTAAATTAAATTAAAACTGAAGATATACTTCAAGCATAAGATCTAAGTTCCAGCTCTAATTCCCTAGCAAAGATAGTCACCTCTAGTTCCTGCATAGACATATTTTCTAGGACAGTGTGATGAATGATGAGCCTAAACAGCTGCAAGACTTGTTCAGCAAATCTGTAGACTTTTCCACCTCACTGAAAGTGTCAGTGAAGAGAAAACTTATTGCTGAAAGGCTTAAAGTAGCTTTATCATTTAAGGCTGCCACAAGAAAGTCAGGGATTGCAGTGTGAAGGTTGAAGATTATTGCAAAAGGCACCTCATTTAGATCTGATCAGAACGAGCTGAGATGAATCTTGTCTCCAGTGATCAAGTCTCAGTGAAATCAATAAACTTAAGTGCCTGAGGCAGTTCTGAAAATGGATCTTCCCAAGGCATTCAGGAACTATCAATTTCTCTCATGGCCTCCAGTTTCAATCATGGCCTGCAGTGCCTCTGAATGGTACTGTCTGGTTCTGCCTAGGAACAGTAACTTTATTCTGTGATCATCTGCAATGTCTGCAGAACAGGGTGTGATGGCTTCTGCATTCCAGGGAAGCGGCCAAGAAGACTAATACTCTTCACTAAATTATAAATAACTTGTGGTTTTTGAAAAATTTGAACTAATAGCTTCTTTGAGATGTAGTTTTTAAAGCAAAAATAATGTGTGAGAAATCAGAACTCTACTTCTACCACAGTAGCAGGGGATCCTGAAATTGTCCCACAAGTAGAACTTGAAGTTTACTCAGAAACAGCTCCATTCAATCTAGACATGTCCCCCTAACTTTCAAATTAAACACACAGGATGCCTTAAAATTCAGGAGCAGATTAGGCTATAGTAAAGAAATTGTTACTCAATTGTAAAACAGTGGATTTTCTTAGACAATACTTTTTTAAAGTTTGCTGCATTTATGCTTACCCACAACACATAGATACACAAGGAAATCATTGCCCAGAAAGTCAACCACAAGGTACTCTTGAAAACAAAATTACTGCTCATTTTCATCAGACTCTGAGAAAATTTTTCTTTTTTAGAATGCCTTTTGAAATTTTCATTCAACTTTCATTGATGGTATCATTAAGTGTCAATCAGTAGTGGTTTTGAACAGGCAGACTGCTGCTTAGAATTAATGAAGGGCAGAAGACAAAATTAGATTTCTCAGTAATGCCGAATAAGTTAGGTGTTGGCATTCAGATGTGAGCTGCAACATTCCCTCGTGTTGGACTGACTAAAAATCCCATAATAAGAATCAGCATGGTGGGCTGGAAGAGCCATCCCACTGGCACCCCATTGTCTCTGTCACCTTAAGATATTCAATAAGTGTGTTTCTGGCTATTGACACAATTACCTTTTCTATTTTTTGGGAAGTGAAAATAGGCACTATTTTTTCAAGTGAAAAATTCTGCAGTAAATTGGAGTTGAAAGCAGACTGAACATACCTGTGCAAATCTGAACACCTTTGTCTGAACTCAACAAACAGAAAGGCGTGAGGGGAAGTAAGCAAGCATTATTAGGGAGTAAACATCTCATGCAGGTTGGATGGAATACACAGAGAGGTCCCTCTTTGGTGATTATAAAGGGATTTAGAGTTATTAACATGCACACAACATCTTCCTTTGGATATCAATGATTATGTGAGATGAATCCTACTCAAAGTAGGTGGGATCATGCTCAGTATTAATAATAAGTTTCAAATCCTACCAGAATAGCAAAGGTTTGCTTCTGCAGTCATTTACTTAATACCAAAACTCCTACTTCTGTTTCTATGATGGTATTCATACTCTTAAACCCTTTCTTCAAAGATACCTTAAACCAGGCTTTTGGAGCTGTGTGCTAAAAAGACATTCCACTGCAACACAGTAAGGGCTAGTAAGGTAATTTCTGCAAATCTCTTAAATTTCCAGTCCCAAGATTGCTTTACTAGTTACTTCTGTGCAGAAAGGGCAAAAATGCTGCACCTGGTGGTGCTCTCTGGTGACCCCATTATTTCAAACAAGAATTAAAAAAATTTCCAATGTTCATGCAGTAGCATGGGGTCAGAAAAGTCATCTTTATGAACAACATATTAAGGTGCAAGATGTAGAAAGGGATGTGAGCTATTTATTCAAGCCTAATATAGGCTCCCACAGATGTCAAGACAGACTGAGAAGTAGCAGCCTCATGTGGGATGTAAGACTGCCTAGGAAGGTAGAGTTAGGCGCTGAAACACTTTTAATTTTAAAGGTTTGGGGTGGGAGCTGAGACAGCTTTTTTTTCTCATGTTGGTACAGCCAGTCTGATTTCAGACACATTTTCCAGCACTGGAGTTTAGTGTCCTTTTTTCCTTTCTTTTGGAGCAGAAATGCACATTGACAGATTTCAAGCAGCAATTTGCCGCTTTTCCAGACCTCCACCTCTTCAAGCCAGTGGTTCTTTTCCACATGTTTTTTTAATAGGAGAACCAGTTTCTAATTAGAGGGAAATCATAAAAAATAATGACAAACTGTTTTTAAAAGCATTTTAACATGTGATGCTTAAACAGAGGTTTCATCTTGAAAAGTTAGTGTGTAGTGAAGCTTCCATTGGCTTTGATTTAGCTGAGATGCTGGTGGATGCTCTTTGCTGCAGCTCATCCCCATGCTCTTAGTGGTTTTTCTCAGTGACCATAATAACAAATTCACCCTCTTCACTATGACAAAGTCTACTACTGTGATGCAGTAGGTTCCTATTTTCAAATTCCAAGTTGCTTCTGAGATTGTCAAGCCAGACAATCAGCTGACATAAATTATCATAGCTCGAGCAGCTCTGAGTGGTCTGTGTGCTGTGACCCCTAAGATGCTCCCCTGGATTCCTAACACATGTTTTGGCAGGTTTATGGCTGTTAGAAGTGGGGTTATTTGTTCTGAATCTGGAATGTGCAAGCATTCACCCACACTGGCCCTTGTGCATGGGAGTGCCTCTCTTCTGGGCATCCGTCACAGTCCCTTGTCCCTTCTGTAGGGCTTTGCTTCCTCTGAAAAAAAAAAAAAAGAAAAAGAAAGAGAGAAAGAAAGATTAAAGAAATAGATTAAATGAAACAGCTAAATCCTCTTCCAGTGCTGAACCCAAGAGGGGAAAAGATAGGAGTGATGAAGAGGTGAAAATACATCTTTTGCCTTACAGCATAAAAAGAAGAAACCAGTTTTGTTGTTATAATTGGAGTAAATATGATGTCCTGTTGAGAGAAGTCAAAGGTTTGGGAATTACAGGCTTTATCCCATAAAAATGATTTAAAAAGTTTTTATTAAAGTGTTTTTATAACCATATAAAAATAGTGTTTTATATGGTTATTTACTATGTTTTGCCTATCTGTCTGAAGATTTGTGGTTAACTGTTAATGATAATGAAAATAAAAATAATTACAAAGTAATATTAGCAGAAAATCAATACAACTCTTTCATTTTGAATGAAAAAGATTTAATGAAATCTTTTTAATGAAGTCATAATGGTTCTTTTTTCTTTTTAGAAGTACAGAGAAATTATATCTGTAATATTGTCTTAATTCAATATTCAGTATGTACTGTGTATATTAACATAATGAATGCATTCCCTGGCACTTCCTGGCCGCAGAACTGGAAACCCTTGTGCTGACTTGATCCAATCAGGACCTCACAGGCTGCTCCAAAAGGGCAAAGAGGCTCCTTTGAGCCTATGAGCTTGTGGGTTACCTGTTGTAATGGCCAAGCAAGAACCTGATTCCTGCCTTGCAAACCTCAGCTAAAGTAGCAGAGCCTATTTCAAATATAAGCCCATGAAACAGCTTGGGGTGAAGAATAGTTAGTTTATGCTCATCCATAACAGCTCCCACTTGCACCAGAAGGTCCCTAACCAGCTGGAAGTCATTGCCAACAATTATTGCTGTCTTATTTAGGTGTACTGGCAGTTCCTAAGTTGAGAGATTTAGAATGGGCATTTTAGTAAGATCACAGAAGAATATAAAACAGGTTGTCTCTCATAGAAATGGAGGTCAATAATGTTTGTTTTTATTCCATTGTTTTCAATCCTAAAGGCATAGAGTGCTGACTATTTTTTAAAAATGCATATTTTTGACATATTTTTTAAAAATACCTATTTTTGACATATTTTTTAGCAAGGTCAAGATTTTGACTGTCAGTTTTAAATAGTCAATAAATGCTGTGTTTTTAAATGTGATATGGCAGCAGCTTCTGCACACTCAGAGTCCAAGTTTTTCTTGGACTTTCATAAAATTGTGATGTTCTTCCTGGACAACAATCACTGTTTAGTGGCTAGAACTTTAAATTTCATTTGTGTACACAAACAGCATTTCATATGAATGATATCATGGCAAAACTGTCAGCCATCTGTTTGGTAGCAGAACACTTGAAATATAAAAATGTTAAAATCTCTTCTTAATTAAAAAATTTTTAATTAGTTGTTGTTACTAGACATGTAAGTAGATGCAATTACATGAAAGATAAGTATTAATTTGCTGTGGGCAGCTATCATAAGCATAAAAATTTTGGCATAGTTAAAAAGTACAAACTTGCCTTTTTCAATGTAATATTGTTTTAGATATTCCAGAACTAACTGATGATAAAATGCTGGTATATTTTCAGAGACTGCACACCACCCTCTACAGTAAATATATCTCCTTTAAATTCCATGCACAGTTGTTGTAAACACTCGTGTTCTGCAAGGAATCTGACTTAAATTGTTGTTTGGTTATTGCATAATTCCAAAGCCTGATGTTTTAGGAGAAGAAGATATAGAAAGTGTCCTTAGCAATGTAACTTCTTTATAGTTTAGTCTTGACACTTACTGATGTGATATCCTCTATGTTTGTGGGATGGTACCTCTGGGACATGGTGTTTGTGTTTAGGTTTGTGCTCACACTAATGCTGTTCCTATTTCTTTTATTCACAGGACAGTGATATGGAGGCAATGGTTGAGTATTTGGAGAGTGTCCTGAATAGCAGCTCATTGGGTAAGATGATATATCTTCTTTAGATAGCAGCAGTTATTAGCAGTCTATATGCATCACTGTCCAACTATTTCCATTTTGCAACAAAATAACTCAAAAAATGTGATCCCTTTGAAAATTACTTCCTTAATCTACTGCAAAGAAGTATAACTATGCCAAAAGATAGGCATAAATAGTTAAGTGCTTCTATTGAAAATAATAAAACCATAAAGCATGATAGTCAGAAGTATAGAATGTTATAAAAAAAACTTCTAAAAACTTGGCTACTGTCATTTTCTCTCCAGAGGAAAATATTTGAAAATGTGTAAGCTATTTTATAGTTATTAATCCTGGTTACAATAAGAGAAAATGAATTAAAATATTTAATATTTTTAAAATTATGATCAAGGTTTGGATAATAATTTATGTAACAGTACCTCATTACAGATACAAAGAAAACAGTAAGAATTTAAGTCTGTAATTTAATCCTAAAATCTCTGGCAAAATATTGTCTATAGATTTACAGTTGGAAAACCTGGGTCATTGTGGTCTACTTAAAAGCTAAAAAGAAAACTGATGTGAAAGAAGGGTATTTACTGTGGCTGTCACAGTCACTGTCCTCAGAGCCACCAGGTGGGACTGAGTGTGAGCTGCATGAAAGGCCAACTGAGTTCCCAAAGGCTCCCATGAGAGCTGCAGCCTCATTTAGCTGCTTTGTTTGCACTCATTCAGTTGGGATAAACCTGACTTGGGATTATCTAAAGCCACAACACAGGAGACTCCTAGGAAGTCCTGCTTCCAGAGGTTCTTCCAGTGCTGAGCTCTGGTTCACCCCTGCTTGTGAGCCTGGGCAGATGGGAAGAGAGAGCCAAAGAAGAAGGATGAAGGGGAGTAATCAAAGTTGTTGCCATCATAGTCCTGTAGGTCACCTTCTGGGTGACCTTCACTGATCACCTTCTGGGCCCCATGCCAGGAGACCCTCAGGACTGAAGGAAGGAACATTTACATCCAGTTTCTCTTCACACTCACAGAGAACCCCCCTGTCTCCATATTCTGCACTCATTCATGCATTTGCAGCATCACTGTCTGCAATGGGTTTGCAGAAGTTGAAATAAGAAAAAAATTTTTGCTCTGTGCTTCAATATCCCTTCATTTAATTAAAGAGAGGAATTGCCTTGAAGGTTGGTGAGAACAAACAAGACTATTAAGACAAACAGTGATGTTTTAAAAACAATCTTAGTATTAGAAACTCCCTTATCTTAATCTTTTCCCTTCAGTATTAGGGACAAGAATATGAGTTTTTAAAAATTGTAATATTAAAGAATAAATTGTACTTTTATCACTAAAAAAAATTCCAACCAGTCTGTGATGAAACTTACAGGCTTTTTTCAAACTAGACAGTAATTAGGTATGATTTTCTCCAAAGAAATATATGTAATGATAATAAGAGACAAATCTCCAGGTTTCCTTTTATCTTTGTATGCCCAGTATCACTTAGAAAGTTTAAACTTTCATTATTTTAAGTTCTTCCAAAATCAAGCTATAAACCTGCAGCTGGGGTCATTTTTATGTGTTTGCTAATGTTCATTTATACCTTGCATATTCTTCACTGGGCTCCAAATTCCCATTACATCAAAATTTTCTGTATATAGTGCAATTTACATAGGTTAGATACTTGCTGTCTTTTTCACCCTAAAGCTAGTTGTGTCCCCTTCCAGGTCTGCATTTCTTTCACTAACCACTAGGACATTGGTTTTACCCATGGCATTGCCAGTGCGAGTCAGAGCCTCCCTTCTTGACATCCCATGCCTGTAGTCCTTTACATCTCATCTTTTGTTCCCACTTTTCAAGGCATCTTCTGTTGTATCAGGCCTGTACTTCTCTACGTTAATTGAATTAAGTTAGTTATAAATATGTCTTTCTACACAGAATACTACTAATCCATCTAAAAAAGCAGGTTGTATGTTACAGGAATAACTGGAAATAAAACAGCCCACTGCATAGTAATTAAAAAAACTGCTGCTATAGTTTAAGCACTTCAGTCAAAATTTCTGTCAGGACAAGCCAAGATCAGACAAAGCCTGAAGCCTTGCAGACTCAGGTGTGTGGCCTGGGGCAGGCAGTGGCAATACCATATTGCTGGGCTACAGAGCTGCAACAGAATTGTAATGGCTACTCCTGAAAACAGTGTGGATTTCATGGCAATAATAGGGCAATGGAAGCAGGAATCTGGCCAGGACAGAATTTCTTGTAGCATCTTTCACTGTTAAAGTATTACAAAAAGATTATGAGTCATTTCAAGTGGCTGTTAGAGAAAAACCAAGAAGAAAAACACTAGAACTTTTTTTTGTCATCAAGGGCTGTGATAAAAAAAATGCAATAAATATAAATTATTTTTCAACAGATGGAATTTGTTTAGTATAAACCTCAGTGTTTATGAAAGGACTTGGGAGGTAACTGAGTTTTCTCCTCAAGAGGTCCCAGAATCACTCCAAGTACAAGAACTTTTCTGGTACACAATTGCTTTCATGTTGTCTATAAAGGTCCATGTGGAGTGTGTTTGAAATAACATAGGCTGTGCTGATAAATTGAAAAATTGGGTAGATCCCAGAAAAAAACTCTAGAAGATAAAGGAGTTTGAAAAACTCATTTTAAAATTTACTAAATTTGCTTGGCATTAAGGGAGAGCAGGTTAGGGGCTGTTGCGTCACTTTGTATTGTTTATGAATCTGGAAAACACACCTGTTTCTAATCTTTTCTATCTTGTACAAAAAGGCATTGTAGGATCTCATGTGTAGAAGTGAAAGGTAAAGAAAAGAAATCTGAAACACAAACAGAAGTTTGTGATTCAGTGGAGATAACAGCTTCACAACACATCATGGCTTATGAAGAGATGCAGTAGGTGTGTATCACCTATTTTTTGGTCACTAGCAGGAATGTTTGTAGGAATGCCTTTGGACCATAATTTATGAAAACTCTTACCAGATAATGCACCTGTGAATAAATTCCTTTCTCTACAGATCCTCAGTGCAAACCTCCAACTGGTGCTCTATCACCTGAGAGGACAAAGATCTTTTGCCCTTTGCCCTATGTTGTTTCTGCAATACTGGGTTAGACACTGGGAGACATTGAAATCCATTTAGAAAACCACAATACCTGGTTTTGAAAAGACAGTGCTCTTGTTGTTTCATTTGATTTTGTTTAATGGATCAAGAATGATATCTTAGATAAAAAAAATGCAAATAATTATCTGGTAACTTTTTGAAGAAGCATAGTTCCTCCTTGTGTGTTGATATGTGGGTACACAAACTGTCTGAAGCTGGGTGCAAAATACATTATTAATCAAGTAACTGCTTCTAAGAAAGTACCTTTGATGTAGAAGTGGAATGGCTATGAATCACCCCATGCAACATTTGTTGAGATGTGCTGTAGCAACAATGTATCAAGCTCTTAGCAGTCTTCACTGAGAACTCATTTTTTTTAATGAGGAACCACACCTTTGCAGCATCCTAAAATATTGTCTGTGCTGCCTTGCAGTAGCCAAAAAATCATATTAAATGGAGAGAAAGATATAGAGTTTGCACAAAGGGACTAAGTTTTTCTTGGCCAATTGCCAATGTGTAAAGTAGACAAAATTTGAATTATCTAGCCAGAAATCCCAGGGGAGAAAAAAAAAAAAACAAAACAAAACCAAAAACCAAAACAAACAAGAAGAATGTTTTTAATAATGAAATGTCAGAGGAGAAGGAAATATTGTAGTAATAAATATACTGAATTCACTACACAGAAAGAATATGCCAAGCTCTTACTACAGTGATCTATCCTGTAATAATAGTAATGCCAGAATTTATCTGGTGCCTGTGGTTAAATGTGCTCCTTTTTAAGGGACTGCAAGGTTTATATTTTCCTTAGGACACTGGTGCTCAGGGCATCCATTTTTAATTGGTTTCAAAGCACTAAAGCCCTACATCTGGACCTTAATACTGTGCCAACTGAGAGAGGAGCCCACTAAGTCACAGGCACTGCTTTGCACAGCACCTAGGATTTCCTGAGCTCTCCTGAGGATAACTCAATTTTCCAGTGCTGCTGAAGGAGTCGAATGCTTACAGACTCCATGTAAAACATATGGGTATGCATGTGCACTGTTACAGTAAACAATCAGGAAATGTTTTTTGCATTAATAGGCAAAATAATTGGTTGCCAGTAAGAACTGGGCTTGTAATTTTTCATCTTTTAAACTACATTAACTGTACCTGAGTTGTAATACTTGGGCACCAGATAACTCCTAGACATTAGGTGTAAGATAAGCTAGGAAAATGTTTTTAAATGTGCAATTGTTTGTCCATCCTGAATCAGGAATCCATTTCTTCTGTGCTTCCAAGCTTCTGAATCCAGCAGATGCTCACTGTGAGTGATCCAGTAGGATCATTCACAATGGAAAGTTTTATCTCAGTATTCAGATGGATGTGATCAGGGTCTAGAATCATGTCAGGCATAGGAGCTTAACTGTTGGGAGAGCCATACAGAGAGTGATTACACATTCCAGGAAAGCATTGGGTGTTCTCTGGGGATGTCTATATCAGCTCATAGAGGGAGGGGAGCTGCAAGCTCCCTCTGGCTGCATGTGATCCCTGTTAATGCAGTCCAAACTAAGCCAAACCCCAGCTGAGTCCAAGCTAAAAACCCCTGGTAGGAGGGGAGTGTGGGCTCAGTTAGACAAGACATTGTGATAACGTGTTTGACTTTTGGCTAGCTCCTACCCTATGCAAAGTCCTCCCGTGCCTGGTCAGAACTTGGGTCCTGTGTGGCACAGCCCACACATTTACACCCTAATACATCTCCTTTTTTTGGGAAGTGAAATCCTAGTGCCAAACAATTTGCAAGAAGAGGCTAAAATAGCTGCTTTGTTCAGCTTAACAAATTGAAAGCTGAATAGGATTTTTTTCCAATTATGAAGAAATGAAAGGTGTGGTATTTGCTGAGCCCCCAGGATCAAGGAGGACTTGATGAATCTGACTCCATGTTCTTAGAAGGCTAATTTATTATTTTATGTATTATATTATATTAAAGAATGCTGTACTAAAACTATACTAAAGAATAGAGAAAGGATACTTACAGAAGGCTTAACAAGATACTAATGAAAAACTTGTGACCTCTTCCAGAGTCCCGACACAGCCAGATGGTAATTGGTCATTAAGTAAAAACAATTCACATGTTGTATAAACAATCTCCAAACCACATTCCAAAGCAGCAAAACACAGGAGAAGCAATCAGATAATTATTGTTTTCATTTTTCTCTGAGTCTTCTCAGCTTCCCAGGAGAAGAAATCCTGGCACAGGGATTTTTCAGGAAATATGACAGTGACTTGAAAGGAGTATGCAAAAGGGAAGGAAATAACTGCATAAGCCAAGGAATAGAACTGGCACAGGAGGAAAATGAGCATGAACTGCTTGACAAAGAAATTTTATCAGGAAATAAGATATTTTAGCCACTAGCTACCAGTAAGGCTTTGAAATGTCTTTCAATGGAAGCAGTCAGGGCAAAAAGTACATAAACTTCTTAGGAAAACCACAGACTTGTATGATGGGATGACTACATGAAATTGCACATATTTGAGCTGATAACCCTGACAGTCCTCTGTGATTCAGCACTTCTGTGTTCCTGTGGTCGAGGGCTTCAATGGTAGGTGAGCCCTAGGTCCTGAAATATTGCAACAGCTCACAAGGCCTGCAAACAAAAAGAGTGGGCATGTGTGTTTATGCATGTATATATTTCTTACACATATATATGTATTTACATATACAGGAATGTTTATATATATATATATTTTCATACATAAAAAGAGTACCTTTATCTGAAGGAGAAACTGATGTCATAAGATAAATACTTCCAGTTTACAGTAATGATCAAGCTCAAGGAGAGACTTGCCTGTTAGGAAGAATGTTCATGCTCTTAAGGATAAGTAAAAAAACAATGGAAGAAAATGGAAGAAAAGAAGTGATTTTCCTTTCTGTTGTAATTCCTTGTGTATTCCTTGTTATTACAGTTCTGGTGCCTTTAGGCTACAAACCTACTTGTCCCTCAGAAAGGAGTTGCCCTTAATGTACATTTAATAATCTAATTCATCTTTAATTAATGTGGCACTGCCTTGTGAGAAACAGGAATAGTCTTCCTCCTTCTGACTGCCCTTCTGCAATAGAGCTCGGGGGGATGAAGGTGAATAAGGTTGTGTGTCTGTGCATTGATTTGTAGGCTCGAGGACTGTCACCAGAGTGTCTCCAGGGGAGCCCCGGGGATTCAGAGCTCTCAACAGCACAATGGCTGAGACCAAGCTGAAACGCATGAGGGAGTAAGTAGCATATTTATGCATTACCAATGTGCAGGCAAGGAATATGGATTTGGAAAACTGCAAAGCACAGAAAATAAAACCCAAAAGTCCCCTCAACAAAAAGAAGTGGATGGTAAGGTGTTCAGAGACTTGCCTGCTTGCCTCCAGAGAGGATGAAAGCTGACCCTCATTTCTGATTGTTTTCTTGTAAGCTGCACAATCACTGACATCCTTCCAGGATCCAGTTTGCCTTCCCTGCTGTCGTGTCATTCTGAATTTCACTTTCTTTATTAGCACAGCCCATGCCCACAAGTCACCTGCAAATGTACACATTACCACCCTGTTTGGTCCCTCACCTGCACTTCATTTTTGCCTGGAATGAAAAGTAAGTGGGTTTGTTTCCCATGGTGATATGATGTTTTAAACCAAACAAAATTGCAGCTCTTGGCTGGTATTTTCAAATGAGACAGCAGGCAGTACATGGACAGTTCCCTTTGAAACTCATTGTCTACTGAGTTTCAGCATTGCTGAAATCCCAGCTTTATTTATAAAGGTTTCAGTGTCTTGATAAAATGAAGATCTGTGCTTCCTTTCTAGAATGTACTGGTTAATGTATCTTGAGCCTTTATCTTGACTCAGTAATTTCTGGCCTTCCAAGATTGATTGCATCCTGTTTTAGGTGCTGATCTGATAATCATAGTGATGTGTATTATTTCTGAGATCAAATATTCTTTGCAATGTTTTGAGATTCAGCTGCTCTCAGAATGTAAACTCTTTGAAAAAGGGCAATTTTTTCTCCTGTGTAGGTGGACAGTGCCAATAATCTGGTGGATGTTATTGGAATACAAATAAGTTCAAACAGTAGATGCTAAGAGTTATTTAAGTGAGCTCTCTGAAGAAAATGAGTACAATTCCAACAGCATTGATAGCAATCACTGTTTAAAACAAATCACCATGTACTACAGGAAAATACAAATCACATTTACTCCTGATAGAAGTTGTTTGGTTTCATAGTATTTCAAGATTCAGCAGCTCCCGAGGTTTCACTTCATGGCTTAGCCCTTACTATGCAATCAGTCCAAGGTCTCGCAGCCTTCCACTTGTACTGCTTTCCATTCTTTTTTCATGGAAACTACTTATAAAAATAAATTACTGCATTATGTTGTCCCAGCTACTTGCAAGGTTAGATTTTTAGTCAAAATGCCTACTAAGCTTAGAGATTTCACCTGGTGTTCTCATGGTTTCTGCATAGAACTTAAAATATTTTGACTTTGTGATCATTGTTTTTAGGGCTGAAGTATGAATAAATCACTTCTTTCAAATTTTCTTTTTCCACTGCTGTTTCATGGTTTTCATGGTTTGTTGAGACTCACATTATTGTCCTTTCTCCAAAACATAGCATGATGTTTTCATTTTCTGAATACATTAAGGTGAGAAAGGACTTAATTGCTTGGAAAGTCAAGTGTAAGGAACAAGTCAATGAGCACAGTACCCAGCATGTGCATAGTCAAGGAGATCCCTGCAAACTCTGACCCCTGGCCAATCTACACACAGGGCACAGTGGGGTTTTCAGTGGTGAGAAGGAAGCACATCTGGCTATGAATCAGTACATAAAGCCACATAGCTTCTCTGCTCATCCTTCAGCAAACTTCATATGATGTGGTTTTTGAATGTCATCCACATAACAGTGCCACATAAGCAAAGCTAATATAATTTAGACTTGTGCTATTCAGTTTTACTTGGATAGGTGCAGACTTTTGGGGGGGGTCTTCCAGATAACAGCTTCTGATGAAGGAAACAATGTGGGGGATTTGTCTTACTGAGACAAACTTACTAGCTGGAGTTCCTAAAAGGAAAGAGGAGAGCAGAGCAGGGGCAATAATGTGGAGGTGCAGTGAAATCTGTTTGGGTGTCAAGTCACTCTAGAAAGAGGACTATGAAGGTTTGGGATTTGTATCATTTCCAGATGTTAGGAACAATAGGTTCTGATGAGGGAGACCCCTGTGTCATGAGCTGCTCATAAAGAGACCTTGTGCCCATGCATTACAGATGATGTTACTGGCAGAAAGTGTCAGTAGCTCTAATAAAATGGTAGATTAATCTAAAATAACACAGGGTCTAACAGTGAAAGCACCTTTTAGCCGTTTCCAATTGACATGTGAAAAATGCTGGCTTGGAAACCACTGTAGCAAGGCAGTCACTTGACAAGATGTTATGTGCTCATTGCTTGAGTTACTGCAGCACGACTCACTAAATGCCTTCTTTGACTTGCTGTGTATCAGAGCATTAATTTAGGAGAGTCCCACTGTATTCTTATAGTGGACTTGACAAGAATACTCATGTGAGAGCAAAGCTGTGCTAAAAATCTTTATGGGAATTAGAAGGAAGCCACTGATGTTCTTGAATGTGGTAGGTAGGAGTGCTTGGTCTCCTCCTTTAAGTGAAAAGAAATGGCTTTTTTATCACTACAACCCCTAAATATTTCCTCTGACTTTCCAATTACCATTGCACTCTCTGTTCCAGTTGATCGCATCCAGCATCAATGTGAATCTCTGTCCTCTCAGTAAAAGTCATGATAAAATCACCAACTCCAGTGACAACAATTTCTACTTTGTTATATTTGGTATCAGAATTCATTATGAAGTTTATAAGAGCAGAGATTTAACTTTACCTTTCAAGCAGAGTTAATTGTCTCCACAAAAATTTCCACTTCAGCGCTAAGCATTTTGATATTGGGATCTGCAGTGTTGATAAGAAATCTCCATTTTTTGAACTCGCTCAAGGTTATCGTTATGCTCCTTCCCAGCCCTGTGGGTCAGCAGCAAGAAGTCAACCAAATATAGAAACTGACTGTGAGACTCTTATTCCTCATACTGGGTTTTGAAACTGAGGAATCATGTTAGATGCAGGAAATGGGAGGAGCCATTTCCTGGTATCTTCTGTCCTGGCCACCATCAAAATCTCGTGGTGGTTCCCATCCTTGGTGGCACAAGGTAACTTGGTGCATGCCAAGTCTGGGAAGCATTACTGCCACGTGCTATCCAGAGCCAAGTTATCTCTCTTTGTGGAGAGATCCACAAAGACAAACTGCTCAGACTGTTCCACTGATGTTCCCTTATAGAGACTTTCCAACTGTGCCTCTCAGAAGAGAGCCACACTGTTCTTCAGAAGCAACTCCTCAAGCCAAAGCATTTTTCCCCTGTCAGATTAAATTGTAGTAGCACCTATTAATTTTTTTCCCCCCGAGGTCCATACAAAAAACTTGGTACAGATCGTTTTGTGCTCCTTTGTGGAGATATCCATGAATATCTACAATGAGTCATTTTAATAGCCATGAACTTTAATATGCACTTTAGAATTCAATAAAATGTATGGCAGTAGAAGGAAAAGGCTTTTATGCCCCAAATTTTAAGTAAATTAAAATCCTTTAGCCCAGCAGTAAGCACCTCTTAGCCAGTCCCCAAAGTGTTATGCACAGCAGCATACCACGATCAGGAAAAAGACTTCATCATCCCCTGCTGAGTGTAAGTAAAGCAGTCTTTCAGAAGTCATGAAGAAAAAGCACTGGGTGATATTTTTATTCTGCTCCTGTGAGTGCTTATAACACTATTGGTTAGACTCATGAGCAGTATGTATATATGCTTCTTGTGCTTGTGATGCTGCCGTCAAATGCATAGTTTATCTGAAAAATTCAGAAATAAAGGTCATTTTGAGGACATCCAGTAGGCACTAGATGTTCTTTGAGATAAGTAGTCCTAAAATGCTAGAAGTGTAGAAGGCTTTTTGCACATTTATTGGTGCAATTAAAAAAAAATTACAGTAAAGAAAGTGTTTACTTGGTGTAGTATTTCAATTTATACAGAGTGGACCTTTCTAAACCAACTGAAACTGGTTTTGTTATTTATGTCATTGAGAGCAGCTTTAGTGAAGACAAAAGCAACAAATACAGAAAAGCTAATTGTTTTTTAAGATTTTGATTTAAGAACTTATCAGTGACCTTTTGATTGCCATTGACTTTCATGTTGATGGTATCATGATGTAAAAGAGCTTGAGGAATGTCTTCTCACAGACAAAAGACATATTTGGTGAGGAAATTTATTGACACTGTCTGAGCTACCACTTTCTTCCAGGTGAATAGAGCACTCTTGAAGGTATTGATCCTGAAATGTTTTTGAGCATTGAATTTCCTCTTACACACACCAGTGTTCTGTCCACCACTCCATTTTCAGGTAATAATTTCTGTCTGGTGATCCCAAGGCATCTTACAGCATGACTATAGTTTTCTGCATCTCATGGGCTAAGCCAAAATTTTATTTACATATCCATTTTCCTTGTCACAGTTTCTCACACCTCATTTTTGAAGGCCAGGCTCAAATGAGTCGACTGAGTTCATTATGGAAAAAAATTAAACATCTTAGTCCATGAGTTTCTCTTTTACTGAAAATCTATTTTAAGATAATTGCACCATTTATACTTTTCAATACTTTCCAGACCCAAATTTGAAGAAAGTATTTTGGATTTGCAGTTTGCTTTACAAGCAAGTGAGAGTACAATAAACTCAGCAGGAACACTGAAAGATTGAACCCTGCCTGTGTGTGGCCAGGCTGGGATATTGGTTCTTGGCTTCTGTCAAGGAGAAGTGAGTGGGTGCTCCTGGCTCAGGAGTCATTGCTGTCCCAAGGCAATGACTGAAAGAGAAAGTGGGAATGGGCAAATCCTGTGCTTCTCCTGCCTAAGAAGAAATGAAGGTGAGTGAGACAGTGTCTGCTGCTCAGGAGTGTAGGAGTCCTCTGCAGCAGAAACAGCAGGAACCCCTCAAGGCTGAAGTTAGAGCTGATGGTCTAATTCCTCAGGCATTTTCCATGGTCTTCCTTCAGCTTCTCCCCTCTGTCCTCCCCTTTCCATGACAAAACTGGGCTGCTTCTCTTGTTGGCACTTTGTCTTTTATGCTGCTCCTCTCCATCCTGCATGGGATGGGAAGAGCATGTCACCTGCCAACACCATGGTTTCAGCAGTTCTCA